ATTCAGATGTTCATCTTCATTACCTGCAAACATATAGGTTAACACAAACTCATAGGACATGCTACTATTTTCCCACCTTGATGAAAGACAACACAATGTTCGTCAACAAATATGATCAATGTCAAAGACACTCTGATCTACACAACACCCCAACTGAGCTTCTTTACTCTATGACATCGCCCTGTTCCTTTTACCAATTGGACGTGGACATTCCGGGCCCATTCCCTTTGGCACTTGGACAATTGAAATATTTGACTGTATGAGTCGACTACATCACAAAATGGATAGAAGTGGAGGATATCGCCAAAATTACAGCATAGAGAATTCATCATTTCTACTAGAAAAAGATCATGTGTATGTTTGGGCTACCAAGAGTCATCATATCAGACAACAGGACCCATTTCACCAACACCATAGTTGCTGAATTCTTTTATGAATTAGGAGTACAAACAAAGTTCATCGCTATCGTCCACCTATATACCAATGGACAAGTACAATCAACAAACAAGGTGATCTTAAAAGGGATCAAGAAAAAAGTAGACAATGATAAAGGGCTGTGAGTTTAATTACTCCATGAGATATTATGGTTGTATCATACCAATCCCCATTCAACTACCAAGGAGACTCCCTTCATCATGGTATATGGAGCTGATGTTATGTTATCTGTAAATATTGACACACCTTTATGACGATGTTCTCAATATAACCTAGAAGTGAACGAGTTAGGCTAAGATGCGCTACCGATCTAATTTATGAAATAAGGGATATCGCTCACATCTGAGAGTTTGGTGCTAAGAAAAGGGAAGCCATAAGATATAACTCTAAGTTAATGCCAAGGGAACTGCAGGAAGGCGGATTGGTGTTACAACATGTTGTTGTGTTTGATCACTAGGAAAAATTGCATCCCAACTAGGAAGAACCGTATCACATATTCTATAACCTATCATATGGAGCATATAAGATGGGTAAATTAGACGGGAGACTCATTCCCAGAACTTGAAATTCCATCCACTTAAAATATTATTATAGTTAAATTATTTGTGATTTGTTATAGGGGTGTGTTAACCACCTATAAATGAATTTTATAGATATTTATGATCAAGAAGAATATTTGGGTTTCACTGTTAAGTATGTTATCTTCTCTAAAGAGAATATAAGTATGATGGACTTCCACAAGAAGATCTTTGTCACCTCTTAGGGCAATACACGGATGTTGGACTTCCACGGGAAAATTATTTTCGCCTCCTAAGGCAATACCTCAATATTAGACATCCACAAGAAAATAATTTCTGCCTCTTAAGGAAATACACAGGTGTTGGACTTCAATAGGAAGATCCTTGCTACCTCCTAAGACAATACCTGAACTCTGGACTTTCCAAGAAGATCCTTTCCGCCTCTTAAGGTATTATATGAATGTTACGCTTCCCAAGAAAATCCTTGTCCATGGCAACATGAATGGATTATGTGTGGGGAGATCACCTCATCAAAACACCTCTCTTGAGGATCTCGATTTAGATTCTCATCATAATGGATCATCTAAATGTCTATCTAGAGTGACTCAATTAAGACTCTCATCAGACAAACTCATCTAAACGCCTCATCTAAAATTAAAAGTCTCATCATATAAACTTATTTAACACCTCACCTGAGAGAATAAGAGTCTCATCAGACATACTCATATTAATGCCTTGCTTGAGGGACTAAGAGTCTCATTAGAGAGACTCGTCTAAGCGTCTCACCTGAGGGATTTGACTAAGAGTCTCACCAAACAGGCTAATCTAAGTGCCTCGTCTGAGATACTTGATTAAGAATCTCATTATGGAGGCTCATTTAAACGCCTCGCATAAGAAACTAAGAGTATCGTCATACACGTTCATCTAAATGCATCAGCTGAGGAACTAAGAGTCTCATCACATTAGCTTATCGAAACGCCTCTATTGAGAGCCTTGATTAAGAGTTCATCATACCGACACATCTAAATGCCTCGTCCAAGGGACTCAATTAAGAGACTCATTAGACATGCTCATCTAAGAGTCTCACCTGATGGACTCGGCTAAGGGTTTCATCAAATAGGAACATTTAAGTGCCTCGCTTGAGGGACTAATATTCTCATAAGACATGCTCTTCTAAGCACCTCGCTTGAGGTACTTGATTAAGAGTCTCATAAGACAGGCTCGTCTAAGTTCCTCTCTTGAGGGACTCGACTAAGAGTCTCATAAAAAGACTCATCTAAATGTCTCACACGATGAACTAAGAATATCATTATATAGGCTCATCTAAGTGCCTCGCATGATGGACTCGACTAAGAGTTGCATCAGACAATGTCATATAAACACCTTACTTGAGGGACTCGAATAAGAGTCTCATTAGACATACTCATCTAAACGCCTTGCCTGAAGGACTAAGAATCTCATCAGACAAGCTCATCTAAGTGCATCTCTTAAGGAAGTATTTCCCCTATCATAGAAATGTCGCCCACGACCCATATTACTCACCTAAAGTGGGAGGATGTAGGAAGTGACGTGTCTTATCATAAGCGGTGCAGAGAAAGAGTGTGAAAAATAATCTATGTCTTTTTAGAAAATAAGGATTCAACCAAATCCAGACCCTTGACCAGAGGGTGGAGAAATCATTCTCATATTCTTTAAAAAAAAAACCTAAAACATAGCATCTCACTTTTGCGAGCTTGCCCTAACTCCACAAAAATACTAAAATCTCTGACAATCCTTACTAAATAAGAGTTGTTATGCATATCTCTCTCATGTCCTCTCATGATTAACATGGCTTAAACAAGTATAAGTATAAATGATTTTTTTTATGGAACATGTAATGTTTATTTATTTTGTTTAGCGTTTACTATTACATATTTTGACCCTTATTTCATTAGTTTATGTATTTGCCTCTCTTAATATTAAGGATGGCAACGAGGCGGGGCGGGGGCGAGTTTAACTATATCTGCACCCACACCCGCCTCCATGTAACACACTCGCCCCGCCTCCAAATTTAACTGGGAATAAAAATTTATCGTTCAGACCCGCCTCTAGTGGAGAACGGGTGCACCCGCCCCGTCCCGCAAAAAATAATTATTTATTTTTTAATTGGAATAAAAATTAATAGTTTAATTGAAAAATTAATTATTTTAATAAATTAATTAATTATTTAATTAAAATTTTAATTAATAAATAAATAGTAATTTGATTAATTTAATTATTTTAATTACAATAAAGGTATTAATAATTTAATTAAAAATATAATTAATTAATAAATATTAAAATAAGTAAAATAAAGGAATTAAACTAAAATACATTATTCGGAGGCGGAGCGGGGGCGGGTGCGGGTGGGTCTTACCGCACCCGTATTTAAAAGTTAAAATTTCTCCGCACCCGCACTCGCGCCCAATTAAATCGAGTTTTTCTCGTTAATTTCGGGGCGGATCCCGCTTAGATGTGGACGGGTCCGAATTTATTTGTCATTCCTACCTAATATTTAAAAAATGTACTATTTAATTTTAATTAGTCACACCTATAGATTTCCAATTGACTTTTGTCATATATTTTTTCTATTCAAATTAAAAAATAATAATAAATTTGTTTTTGAAAAAATCAATCACTATCATTTAGTTATCACATCATGTATCTCATCACATCAAAATGTAATTTTTAAATTAAAGATACAACATAATATAAATTCATATTGAATGACAATATAAATTCATATTGAATGACAATGTAAATTATTTTGCACCGATAATACATATCATTAATCTTTGTTTTTTTGTTCTTTTATATTTAAAACAATTAAATTTATTTAATTCTATAATTTTAATCAACTAACTTTTCATTGATATAAGGCTAGAAATGAGTGCAACTTAACATGATTTTGATGGGAAAACCGCAACCGAACATTTCAAATAGTACAAGATAAAAATGATGCATTTTAAAAGTTGAAGAGAATTTCTTCCAATATTTAATATACACGACAAGACAATAATTGTTTGTTGAAGTTAATTATATGTATCCTCAGTCAGGGTCCTACTTTAACATTAAACACACATAATTTAATCTTGCAGTGAACAGATGTTTATGCCGCTTATTTGTTACATAAGTATTAATCAAGTTGGTGATTGATTGGGAGATGTGGAGGGACATGTAGTTGAGATTTTGAGTTGCGGCTTATGAATTCTATTTCTAAATGCTGGGACGATTCTATTAAATAACTTATAAAGATTTTTGGCAAAATTGTTCAAATGTATTTTAAAAACAGAACCTAGAAAGTATAATATAATCATATGTCAGCAGAATATTTTTCTTAATATAAATACATTGCTAAAAAGATTCTATTAAATATCTAATGGATAAAGATGCTGCAAATAAAAGAAAAATTCTCTCAACTACTTTTAGTTTGGTAAAGCATCCATACAGCATTTTAGTTTAGGTGCGAGGTGAAAAGCCAACGTAAGTAAGTGGATGTAGCATAGCATCAAAATCATGTTTTCAAAGAAACTTTGATGCACAATCTAAAGTAGTTGCTCAAGTAGGAAAAAATATTAATATAAAGAAAACGTTAGACACTACTCCTAAGAAAGAATAATTATATACAAGTTAAGGATGTTTTCTTTGTTAACGCATCTTTAAATTATAAATAATGCAGAGGAGCATTATCAAAAAGAACCAAAAAGATGAGTAATTAATAAAACTTGGCTACAACTCCATTGATACATGTATAAGTCCAAGATAATAATAAATTACCCATTTGTTCTCATCTTTTCAATACAGAATGAGACTACACATGAATGCATGAATATCAATCACCGGCAGCCATATCAAAACTTGTATACCTCCTCCCTGCAAGGCTCTCCAGTTAGTAGGCATACTATTGTGGTGGTGTTTTTTACATTCAAAGATTTTCCACCATGGTGTTCTCTGCTCTGAAATTTAGTTCTGCACAGCAACCCAAGCTTTAAAATATGCCATATGGTTGGGTTGAAATGCCAGGAGCGGTCACCTAATAGTAGTTCTTCCAAGAGATAATGCTCCGATTTCACTTTCAGTATTCTGCATCGAATGTCACATATGAAATAATCCATAAGATTAATGTAGCCCTTTTAGAAAACTATTGAAGTGAATTAATGAAGACTATCATCTAATCACCGGAGCCCAGTCATATCTAAGGGAATAGGGGCACAAGATTTTTCTCCATCATTTAACGAGTAATTTACCTGTGATTTAGGGGAAGGGAATACATTCCAGAACCTAAGTGTTTCATCTCCAGCTCCAGTCACAATAGTCTGAAATAGTAGAGCTCATCACAATCAGGAATATATCATAGACGATAAAGAAACTTTTTTTTGTCATAGTAATACTCAGTAATCTAGAACAAGGATTAGTTAAGAGAAGAACTGAAATACCTGTCCATCTGGTGAGATGGCGAGATAAAGAACCCTATAAGTATGGCCTGTAAGAGTGGCCAACTGCAGGAAAGAACAGAAAAAGATGGTAAAACTTGTTTAAGTTAAAAGAAAAGATATCCACTTCATCACAGAAGACACTAAGTACCTTTGACATGGTGGGGTATCTCCAAACAATTATCTGGTTCTGGGAGTAGCCGTGTGTGCTTACTAGTTCATTGACATTTTTGGACCAGACAAGATTGCAAACCTGCCAAATATACAAGTTGAAAATCATTTGATTTGTGTTAAGGTAAAGAGAAGAGGAGGAAGACCCTTTTATCCTCCTCTCAATATGTCAAGGCAAATAACAAATATTGTGAAACTTATGAACTGAAAAAGAACTTCAAGATTCTATCTTTTGCAGTTATAGTTAGTAATTAACAAGAATTAAGATCTGATTTTGTTTTATTTAGGTTTTTTTTTCCTTACAACCTCCTAATGTCTGAGTAACTTTCTACATATGATAAAGAAAATAATGATTTCATAGCACCACATAAATTGCATGTGTAAAGTGGAAAACTGCCAACATATGAGAGGGGAAGGTGTTTAGGGGAGGGGGTGGTATTCCCTCATGTTGCCTTCTTGCCTGCAGAGTTATAATAATAACCACAATACTCAAGCCTTATTTGACTTGGTTCTTTCAAGGGTTATGATGAATAACTCATAAGAGGCTATAATGCCATACACTTTAATGGTTTAGGCTTTTAAGAGAGCTGGTTTATGACATATTAGCAGAGCTTTCTTGACTTAAGTGACCTGGGGTTCATCACTGTTGGCCCGGTTCTTCTAAGTAAGAGTAGAATTTCTTCAAATGGTAAAAATGGGCTCGTCTATTGTACATATTTCATGGTAAGAGGCCACTGACAGGATAGAGAGATGTAAATAACTCATTCATAACTCATCCCCTAATGTTACTTAAACCTTTTAAGAGAATTGGTCCATATGAAATAATGAATGTTACACCAGTCATAACCTATATTCCTATACAAAGAAAATAATTGAACATCTCACTGTAAAATCCAGATTAATTAGCTTCCATGACTTGCTACATCCTACTCCCCATTTCCCCTACTCTCAAAAAAGGAAGGAGAACAGTTTTGCAAGGAAATAGTGACTCTTATCTTTCAACACGGTTTACCAAAAAAAAATCAAAAACAGTTCTGCAAGAAAGCATCAAATGTTATCGGTAAACAGAACAATGACAATCACACATACAGATAGCTTGTCAATCTCGAAGTCCGATGCTCTACCATGCCCTTTTCTAATCTTTTCTTAAACCTTATTATTTTACCAGGGTATTTTGAATTATTAAGACCCGTTTATCCTTTTCATTTTCCATTTTATAGATTTTGGTTTGGTAGTTTGTTGTCCTTGCATGCTTTAAATGAGTTATTGAAATTGCCTTCCAACAAAGAGAACATGAATTTTCTAGCGCCTAAACACTATACAAGGCCAGTAATTGCCAGCGCCTAATTACAGCAAATTTTGAATTAAAGTGTATTTGTATGAAAGTATAAAAAGGTTAAGAAGTACTCTTACCTGACTTCCAGTGTCCATACAGCTTAAGTGTGAGTTTGTGGTTGTATTCCAGAAACGAATACATCGGTCTGCAGTTCCTCCTCCAGATGCAAGAAGTCCATGAAGATGAGGAGACCATGCAATAGCTTTAACAGCTGCCGTGTGCTCACAGTATTTCAGGACAGGTTGGGTTGAGTGTTGATTCCAAACAAACAACTGCAAAGATATGAATAGAGTGAGTTTCAATAAAGGAGAAGAAAACAATAAGAAAACAGTTAGATAGTTCAGATAAATGATTAAGTTTGCAATTGCTTACTTTGTTGTCGTTTCCTCCAGATGCCAATTCACGATTATCATAAGACCACTTCAGTCCACAAACCTTTGAAAAATCAAAAATCAAAATCAAAATCAAAATCAGGACAGACAGCATGCAGAGTGATGAATCTAGGAGATAGAAACAAATCTAACCTCTGATTTGTGTCCAGACAGTTTACTAACAAAATCTTCTTGTGTGCGTATATCTCGTTGATAAATATTCTTATCCCGTCCGCCAGAGGACAAAAGAGATGAACTCCATGCCAAGGCCCCGACGCGTAATCGATGTCCTTCCATAGATCTTATCTTCTTGCATCGTGCTGCATCCCAAATCTACGTGGACATTAGTTAAAAACAAAGTTTCAGTTAATTTGAGGCATAGAAACAGAAAGCATAAGGTTTCCAGAAAAAAAGGAATTAAGTGGAATTCACAAGTTCCAGGGATGCAGTGAGAAAAAAGACTTATTTTGATGTGACAATGAAGTTAAACAGAAGTCAACTAAACACCAACTATTCCAGGGAAAGGCAGTCCAAAAGAAAAAAGATTGAGGTGGGAGTGATGCACTGTCTATCTACCTGCCTTAGAACGAAAACTGGGTACGCTTATACACATTATTGAGGAAAAATTGGTATGATTTATGGATTAATTAAGGTTCAACCAGGCAAATTAAGTGTTCTATGTTAAAAGTCATACTATAGCATGACTACAGACTATATCAGTAGATAACCATCAAACTGGTATGAGTTGCCAAAACCAGGGCCTAAGTTGCTTAGGCCCCCTGTTATTAAAAGGCTGCATTTCCTAGATCTTGTAGAAGCTCAGAGGTAATGAATTAAGATGACAGGTTATATAAGTAATGCAGAAACTGTCTAGTTCATTAACTACTTCATTAAATGATTAGCTAACAGAAACATGAGCCACACATGAGCTTATTTTAGCTGGGAGTTGTCACGAAGTCTCCCACTCTCTTCCCTCTTATCATATTCACTTTTAAGAGTCAGTTACAATCCACATCAATTAATATCAAAGTACCGTTTTATTGACTTTTGGACCAATGGGATTGACAAAAAAACATGAGTCACACATGGGACATATGTGAGAAACATGTGGAAACAGGTTAAGGGTGAAACCTATACAACACAACATATCCAACAATAAAAACACAATAATTCAAACTAATAAATGTGTGAATATTATAAAATTAAATGACAGATGTGCTATCTGTTATACAGTTCACCATTGGCCCAGATTTATTTTAGTAACGGAACTCTGATAATGAAGAGTAAAGAGTATCATGATGTAAAGATATAGACAAAGAATATTACACATAATACAAAGTTAAAAATAAAAATAAACATAATGATGATTTTCTCTACTCTTTCAATTCCATATGTCAATAAAAATAAACAGTTAAAATGGTAAATTTATATAAAAAAAATCTTTGACTTTAATTCTAACTACCCAAAACAAACATTTCTTTACTAATTAATTATTTAAGATGAACTATCTAATCAAAGAAAATATCATCAGAATATTTTCCATTATAACACTTCCTTAATGACTTCTAAAAACATCTCCATTCAATTTGGTAGGTGGATAAACTGTTAATAACTTGCAATTTCAGACTTGTTTCCTTCTTTAAACTAAGAGTCTACCCAGGAAGCTCCCTGTCCTTAGGAAGGCTCACTTTACCATAATGCACCCTCCTTCAATGCAAGTGGCAATATATTTAGGGTTTCAGGATCAGTAAAAGCAGCTAATCTACCACATTTAGAATGCTAAAATGGCTATAGCACTTGTTCAGGAAGCTAGATAACACATATTGTCATCATTCCTATGTAGAGTCCATCCATAAGGAAAAAAAATTCCCTTTGCTTAATTGAGAAATAGAAGAGAAGTGTATGGAAGCAAAATAAAACAGACAAGGAAAACACATGAAAAAAATCAACACAAATAAAAAAAACTCAAGTAAAGCAACCTCCAATTGCCAAAAATACAATCAAACACACTCAATTGGAAACTATAACAACATGCATGATTAGCATCTAGCTCATAAACTCTTACCTGAACTTTACCATTGTTAGTTCCAACAGCAAGATGAGTACCACGCTGTGCCCAGCCAACAGAACAAACACAATCATCAACCCCTAAATCACATAATTTAGTTACCTGCATATAGCATAACAAAATCGGATCAATTAATAAAAAGATACATCCATGCTTTAAATCTTCCTAACAGAATCACTCATTAACAGAAAAATCGAAATCCATAAATCCAACACAAATCATATTAAAAAAAAAAAAACTTACTTTACTGCTACAAGCATTCCAGAGATAAACGCAGTTACCCAGACCAACCGCCAACACATTGTGTGAAGACCAATCCACCAGATTCAGATAAAAATCGTCTTGCAAAGCAGGTGCATCCAAAACCTATCAAACATCGCCACAGATTCTCATCTCCATTAACATCAAAAACCTAAATCAACAACATTATAAAATAAATAAAAAATAGAATAAGAAAAAAAAAACAAATTCACCTTATAAGGCGATCGAGGAACCTTCCTGGGAGCCTTGACTGGAATCTGATTAACACCGGGAACAACATCATCAGACATAAACGGAGAAAGCGAATGCATGGACTGCCGAGTCTCCGTTTTATACCTAAAAATATTCCTGCTCGGTAATGTCATCGACGGCGAGTCCCTCTTCTCCGGCGTTATAGGACCAGCCACCCCGGCCGCATCAGGTCCAAACAAAGCAGTCCGGAGAAGAGTGGTGTAAGCACTAGAACTATCATCGCGTCCCTCGGTAGTCGTATTGATATCAAACAAAGCGAATTTGGAGGCAGATCTACTAGGAATAAACCTATCGGAGTAGATTGTTCTAGAAGGTGAAGTATAATGGTTGGAGTTAATCATGCGTTCCACGTGACGGAGATTTTCCGGAGAAGGAGAAGGCGGCGGAGAGATGGCGGACGGAGGAGTATTTCGTCGGTTACCGGTTGGTCCGTCCATGGCGGAGGCTGTTAATTTTCCCGGGAAAAAAACAGTGAAAGATTGCAGATTTTATTTTCTCTTCGGTTTTTTAATAAATTTATTATAAAAAAATTAATGCTTTTCTCGATTATTGTGCAGAGAGAGAGTTCTTCACAATCACACTGTTCCTCTGATTCCTCAACTCCACCTCCCAACCTCCCTCTCTTTTATACACTTTTTTTCTCTCACTCCGTAGAAAGAAAACAACAAATTATTCTTTTGTCTTTTTTTTTTTATCTAAAACGCTTCATTTATAATTAATGCTAATTTTATAAAAAGATTATGTCATAATTATTTTTTAGAAGGTCAATATCTTCTTCTTTTGCTTTTTCTTTTACTTTTGTAAAGTAATTATCTCTCTTTTTTTAAATTTAAGTCTTTATTTTTATTCAACATTTTGTTACTACATTTGGCATGAGACCATTTTAAAGTAAGGATTTTTTATTTAAAATTATATATATATATATATATATATATATATATATATATATATATATATATATATATATATATATATATATATATATATATATATATATATATATATATATAATTAAGTTTAATTAAAGTGAAAGTATGATGCTTTTTATATAATTTTAATTTATTACATGATGACAAATGGATAACAGAGAGAAGTTTTTTTATTATTTAAAGATCTGGTTCAAAATAGAAATAGTATTTATAATATTATTTTAGATTGCATACATGATTTTTGCTTCTTTTTTTTTTTGACAATATTTCGCATCGTCGGATTTTTTTTTTTCATACGGTTTTATTATAAATTCATACATAAATGTATAAACTGCAATTATGTAGAGCTCCCTCATAACTTCCATAAAAGTTTCTATAGATTATTATTAAGAAAAAAGTCTAAGGTCTTATCAATTCCACAAATATATTAATATGTTAAAGAAAGATTAAATTTTTTGTATCTTATTCACAAAAATATTTAAATACAATCTTTATTTACCATTAACCTCACACATAAATCGTTTTTGTTTTAAATCTAATAAAATGTTCTTCATATTTTTACTCACAATCAATTGCGAAATCAATTGAGCTAAATTATCACTCAAACCATAACTTTTATAAATAAATAAAAAATAGAATCGGTACAAATCTCTACACAAAATTAAGGACGTCGTTAAAAAATATTATTTATTTATATTAAAAAAAAGTTAATAGAATCAGTACAAATTTCTACACAAAATTAAGGACATGATTAAAAAATATTATTTATGTTACTTTCAAAGGTTGCAAAGTAAAAATTAAAATAAAATTATTATTCCAACCTGATTTATGAGTAAAAAAATATATAATTTTCATGTTTATTAAAAATGAAAGTTAAATAAATTTAATTTTTATAACTTATGTAAAATAAATAAAATAAATATCAATCTACTCTTAATTAAATTATCATCTACTAATATATTAAATAATAATGCATGAATAATTTTAGAATAAATGTATATTTGCTCACACTTGTTTATATTTAATGGCAAAAAAATTTAGAATACTTTTGTTTATAAATAAAATGGAAGGGAGTATGTTGTTTGTGGTTAACGTCACTCAATCTTGGTTGCATATAGTTAAACTGTAAGCAAGCATGGTCCTCTTCCTTTTTTGTATTTGGGGTTGTTTATCGGTGGTGATTCTAGGAAGTCTAATTTTTTGTATCATTTTATTGATCGCACCAAAAGAAGGTTGTCAGGGGTGGAAGAGTCACTTCTTCTCTTGGGAGTCGCTCGATTCTTATTAAATCTATCATGTCGTCTATTCTGATCTACTTTTTCTCCTTCTTCAATGCGTCGTGAATTTTTTTGCAAGTGGACATAGAAGATCGGTGGGTATGGAATTAACATCCATTTTCTTGCTACGCGACTAGCAATGTTTATAAAAGTTTGTCTGAAGTTAACGACAACAAAAATCAACCTAATTCCCTAATTTTATGGTCGAAGACTTTGCCACTCAAGTTTTCGATTTTTATCTAGCAATTGTTATTGAACCGTATTCTGACGAAGGACAATTTGCCTAAGTGGCGAATTCTTGCTATGAATGATCAAAGATGCGTGGCGAATTCTGGAAATGAACCGAATCAACTCAAAAATAGTTTGAAACTTGGTTCTACAATTAAATCGTTAAACTATATTCATGAACCAAATGAGTTGGATATGAAATTAAATAGTTAAACTAGGTTCATGAACCAAATGAGCTGGATATAAGCGAAAAACTAAGTTTGTTAACTAAATGAGTTGAACTTGAACTCTACATAGTTCGAATCGTTATATTCATGAGTCAACTCGATTATATATGAGAGAACTCAATTATTTTTAAGAGTAGATTTAAAGATTTACTCCAAATCTTAACCATATATTGTCCATTTCGTAATAACTATGGTAGTAAATTTAACAATTGCATTTAGAGTCCTCCTTGTTTGAGTCATTTGCTAAAATAACATGTGTAATGAAGATTACAAGTGGTGTAATCATTATAAAATGTGTAATGAAGATTACAAGTGGTGTAATCATTCTGTGATGGAAATGTATCAATTTCTAATAATTTTTTATGTACTATTTCATTAAATTTGTAATGTTCCTAAATGTTTAGATGAAGTTATGGATTTTAGAGACAAATTTAAACTTCAATTAAATAGTTTTTGAATTAGACTTTCAAATGTATCTCTTGAAAGTTGTGTAGTTGTTGAATTAGTAGATTTAAAAAAATTAAATTTTAATCTGATAACTTTTATTTTATTTTAATATTTTCGTTTAACAAAAATATTAATTTAAAATGTCAAATATATATTAAAAAAAATAGACCTAAGAAAATAGTTTTTAAGTCCATGAAGCAAGTGAGTTGAAACTAACGAGATGAACCGAATTGTTCGTGAACTCATAACAAGTCGAGTTTGAGCTTAAAAAAATGTTCATGTCGAACTCAAACCGATATTTCAGCCAAATCAATTATTAACGAGTCAAGTCGAGTTGAGGCGAGTTCGACTTGACTCGACCTATTTCAAGTCCTAGTGGCGTAATGGCTCTTAATACTATTGGATTGTGTGTGATTTAGGTTATTTGAAAAGAGCGTAATAGACGTATTTTCATAATAAAACGAAGCATTTGCAAGTATTATTTGAGAGGGTAAAACTTCAGTCGTTTTGATGGTTAAAGTTAAAATATATTAATTTTTTTTAATATGATTACCAATTTTAAAAATTAAATCATTTAAGTAATTTATCAATTATTATGTAGTCCAATTTTTTATTTTTTTTTAGAATTTTGAATTGTAATTTCGAAGAAATCTTGTAGTGAAGTCTTGTGCTAAAATAACTTGTTTAGGTATTAATATTAATCTCTTTTTGACCTTTTCAAAAAAGTTTTAATATATAAATATTATTAAAAAAAAGGTTAGGGTGCAACTTTTAATTAAAAGTATGTACCAAGAATACATTTGGAGATCTAAATTGATGTCTTACAGCGTTATATTATATCACTAAATGCAAATAGATTTAAAATTTTCATTACTAGCAAACTGTCAAGTCCTTCAAAAAAAAACAATCAAATAAATACATTCCACATTATTACATTCCTTTTTAAAATACAAAATATAAAATTTATTAAAATTCTCAATTACTGTAAAATATTGTATAATTCATAAAACTTAAATATAATAATGATAATGGTAATGAAAGGATAACTTAATAATAACATTAATATTTGTAAAAATAAAACTTGAATATTACAATAAAATAAATATACAATTTTTATATAATCTATTTAAATGTCTAAATAAATGCCTCACAAGTCTAAATAAAACTTATAACAGAAAAAGTGTTGATTTGGCAACACTACAAAACAATAGAATAAAAGTAACGAATCTTCAAATGATATATTTGAAAGAATAAATTCACACGAATGCTATATAATCTTAAAAAGTGCTGACGTGGCATCAATCACCTTCCTTGAAGAAATCACCTATCTGAACAAAATCATATAATGAAGAGTAATATTATATCACTCTATTATATTAAAAAAGAATCAAATTTCATTAATAACAAACTTTTACTTTCCAATTAATAAACTCATTCTTAAGATATAAGTTCCAAAAGTTATTAAGAGAAATGATACAATTACAATAAAAGAAATAAATTTATAAACTTAAATATATTAATACTAGCAATAGTAATAATTAGCTAAATTACAATATTAGTGATAATAGCATTTTTATTTGTGCAAAAACTTAAATTAATACAATATAAGTAGAAAAATATGAAAGATTTAAAAAATATTTAAAAGAGAAGGTATATATATTACTTTAGTCACACAAAAAAAATCAAATGTTCTACTATCATTTATAAAAGAAAATAATTATATAACATGACAATTAAATTTCTTTGAAATATAAATATTTATTTGAAAATCTATACTATCATTAATATATATATATATATATATATATATATATATATATATATATATATATATATATATATATATATATATATATATATATATATATATATATATATATATATATATATATATATATATATATATATATATATATATATAAGCTAAAATATTTATTTGAAAATCTATACTATCATTTATATATATATATATATATATATATATATATATATATATATATATATATATATATATATATATATATATATATATATATATATATATATATATATATATATATATATATATATATATATATATATATATATATATATATATATAAATAAAAGCTAAAATAAATATAATTTTACAACAACAACAACAACAACAATAATAATAATAATAATAATAATAATAATAATAATATATTATTTGGAACCTCAATGAGAAAGCGGATAGTCTGTGGGTTAAACTGATACATATTTATTATCTAAAATATTATGATTTGATGAACATTAACATCAAAAGTTACACCTCCTTGATTATGAAAAACATCTTCAAATAGAGAGC